GGTGGGGATGCAGAAGAGATGTCAGGGTGGATAGAGGTCACCTCTGGCCTTGGGGAACCCTGCCTTGAAAGGTGGAGGCAGGTTGTGGTTGAGTGCAGTATTGACTGGGACCTCCACGCTCAGCACCTAATGATGCCAGGCTTGGGTGTTGAGGGTAGGATTGGACCTCATTAGCTTGGTTCACTCCCCCCCCCCCCGCCCCCGGCTTCCTAATCCCATGAGGGTGGATGCTGTTATAGTTCATACTTTTCAGAAGAGAAAACTGAGGTTCAGAGAGGTGAAGGCAGCTGTCCTTAGTCCTGCACCTCAAAATCATCAGGGACAGAATGGGGACCCGTCTCTGGGACTCCAAAGCCCTGGCCTCTGTAGCCTTCTTGGGAGGTGGGAGGGCTCTCTGGAGACTGGTGGAATCAGAGGCCTTCCTGAAGGAGAGAGCTCTGCAGAAAGTATGGTCCTGCAGTTTACCCCTTGAATTCTCACTGGATTTTAGAGTGGAAGAGACTCTAGATACTGCCTAGGACTTGAGGCTCAGAGAGAGTCCAGGACTCATCCAGGGCACCATGATTCGGCTCCTCACCACAAAGCCCCGTCTCTACCAGGTAGCAGGGACTGGAACAGCAGAAGCCATTGATTGAGTGCTGTTTCCAAGGTTAATACACACTTCTTTCCTTCCTTCCTTACCTTGTTGGATTCTGAGCTGGTCCTGCAGAGACATTTCACAGATAAGAAAATAGTCTCAGAGGGGCTCGGTCACAGGCCAAGGTGTTTCATGGTAGAGGGGACAGTGTTGGGACCAGGGATGTCAGACTCCCAGGGCTATGCTTTCAAGGCTGTGGCACTCAGTGACTTGAGGTGGCTTCTGTCCACTGTCTAGGCTCAGACACTTTCATCCCCATCGCCCTAGGTAGCTGAGCCCAAAGAGGAAGGCTCAACTCAGCTGGCGGCGCCTGGAGTGTACTTCACCTGCCCGCTCACAGGGGCCATCCTGAGGAAGGACCAGCGGGACACCCGAATCAAGGAGGCCATTCTCTCAGTGAGTAGAGGCCCCGTGCCCCCATCCCTCACCTAGAGGTTTCAGGTCAGGGCTGCCTTCAGTGAGCCCCAGTAAGGCCGGGGGGTACAGATCCTTCGTAGTGTCTTCACCTGTGTATATTGTGTCTGTTGTCACTTGTTCAAAGAGGTAATGCTTACTTGTGATAAGAATTCAGGATACAAAAAGGGTAGGCAGACAAAAACCATTTCCCCCCACCTCCCAGCTACCCTTCCAGGATGCAACCTCTGGGTGGTTTAAGTTCCTTTTCAGAGACATTTCAAATATGAACAAACTACTGACATACTTGTATCTCCCCTTCACTTGTTTTGTTTTCCATAAAAGGTAACATACCACTCAGGTTTAACATAGGAACTGCCAGCTGTTACATCAGTACAAAAAGAACTCCAGCGTTACTTTTCTTTCTTTAAAACTGAATTTGGAAGTGCCCTGGGTCTGAGTTTCTCATTAACCATCATAACAGATTACTACAAACTCGGGGACTTCAAATAGACGTCTAGTCTCTTAGAATTCTGAAGTCAGAGTGTGACATGGCTCTCACCAGTGGCAGGAGGGCTGCATTCCTTCCTGAAGCTCTGTGGACAGTCCATTTCCTGTCCTTTTCCAGCTTCTAGGTCACCTGTATTATGTGGCTCCTTCTTTCACCTTCACATCTAGCGATGCCAGGCAAAGTCTTTGTCCGGCTGCCATCTCTCTGATTCTCTCTCCTGATGGACTCTTATGATTACCCTGGCCTAGCAGGATTGTCCAGGCTAATGTCCCATTTTAAGGTCTGCTGGTCAGCAGCCGTAATTCTATTGCATATTCTGGGCTGCCGACAACCCCATCTTCCCTAGAGGTGAGGGTAGAGCTGAGGCCCAGGAAGGAGTTGTCAAAGGACTTTTCTTCTTTTTTTCTGCTGAGCCCATAGAATTGAGTTGAATACTACTGGCCGGTCCACCATGAGACTGTTATTAGTATTATTACTGCTGCCTCCTGAGTAGTGAGGCCTCCAGGCCATGAGGTAAGCACTTTTTGACATGCTTTCCTCACTCCTCCCAGCACTTCTCCACTGACCCAGTAGCTGCCTCCATCATGAAGATCCACACGTTCAACAAAGACCGGGACAGGGTGAAGCTGGGTGTGGACACCATCGCCAAGTGAGTGGGTGCCCTCTCCCCCCACTGGGGGGCCAGCCTCTTGGGCTTCCAGCATAACCTGCTGAGGGGGCCCAGAAGGATCCTGGCCCTGGGAGCCAGGCCCCACCTTTCACTGCCCCTGAGCCCATGAGAAAGGGGCTTGGCCTCTTGGGGCCTCTGTTTGTCTGTAAAACGAAAGGGTTTACAGAATTGGGGATTTCCAACCCTGGCTTCCCTTTGGGATCATCAGAAGAATGGGAAGTAGGTGAGTTCCCACCCCACTTCCCTGACTGAGTAGGTCGGGGAGTGCTGGAAGTCTGTTTTTAATTTTATTTATTGATTAGAGAGAGAGAGAGGGAGACAGAGAGAGAGAGAGGAAGGGATAGAGAGAGAAACAGAGAGAGAGGAGAGAGAGACATTGATTTGTTGTTCCACTTATTCATGCACTCATTGGTTGATTCTTGTATGTGCTCTGACTGGGTATCGAACCCACAACCTTGGCGTATTAGGACGGTTCTCTAACCAACTGAGCTACCCAGCCAGGGCTGGAAGTCCATTTTGCTCATGAGCCCCCAAGCCGACACTGGTGGCCCATTGGCCCTGTCCCCCATTGGTGTCCTCCAGTGGAGGCAGGAACAGCGATAGGCCCCAGGTGGCAATGGTGGTGGGGGCAGTGGTGTCCTATGCAGGCCCAGACTGTTGGCACCAGGGGTCAGGCTCCATGAGGTGTCCGAGGTGTGATGGCACCCCCCCCCCGCCCCCAACATCTCTCTTACCACAAGCCTGGGTGTGGCTCTGAGCTGCTATCCATCTGGGGGTGGGAGGTACAGAGGAGCCAGTCAGACAACCCTGGCCTGTCCCGGATCCCCAATTCTGCCCTAGGTACCTGGACAATATCCATCTGCACCCCGAGGAGGAGAAGTACCGGAAGATCAAGCTGCAGAACAAGGTGTTCCAGGTGAGGGCTGTGCTGAGTGACTTTTAGCCTGTGTAGCCAGCGTGGCCGGGCCTCCAGTTACACAGGGCCCAGTCTGGTGGTGGGGCCAGTGGGAGCGCTCCTCCAGGGGTTTCCGGTTGAGGTAGGCAGAGGTGGCATGTGGAGAGGGGGTTTTATGAACATAGGTCATACACCTCATCTATATTTAATCTGCATTCCCCACCACCCGAGGCATGTTTTGACTTTTTTTTAGTTGGGATCACATCAGCACTGGGGGGATTTCTTATACAAACAGACTTCTGGCTTCTGTGGAGAAATCAAGGGGTTCCGCCACCCTGGCCCATGTTACCTGTGCTGCTGGCCTGACACCCACTGCCCACCCCACCCCCCATATGCAGCCCTCCCCCGGTTTCTGTCCCCCCCGCCCCCCATGCTGTTCTTTGCCTCTTTAGCTCCTCTTCACCTGTTGTTGGCCTTTGGGGTCCCACATCCTCTGTTACCAGCTGTGAAAGCCTGTCCTTAGGCAGCTTTGTGGGGGTTCATCCCCTCCAGTGGGCAGCAGCTGCTCTAAAAGAGGGGGATGCTGGGCCTGGTGGAATGGGCTGGGCAGCAAGGCTGGGTTGGGCTTGAGGAGGCCCAAGGGTCCTGCATGACTTCTGGCTCTGCTCCTAGGAGCGCATTAACTGTCTGGAAGGGGCCCACGAGTTTTTTGAGGCCATTGGCTTCCAGAAGACATTGTTACCAGTTCCGGATCAGGGTAAGCTGGGTAGAGAAGGGCCTTGGCTAAGTTGAGGTGGGAGTGGGGGGGGGGGGGTCCAGCGCGGGGTCTTCCTGCTGTGGCACAGTGACATCACAATGACATCCCTGCGTATCCCAGAGGCCCCGAAGAGTTCTACGTGCTAAGCGAGGCCGCCTTGGCCAAACCCGAGAGCCTGGAAAGACACAAGGAGCAGCTGCTGTGCGGCGAGCCTGTGCGGGCCACACTGATCCGCCAACGCCGTGTCTTCCGGCCCTCACCCATGGCCTCCCAGTTTGACCTGCCCCCTGACTTCTTCAACCTCACGACTGAGGAGGCCAAACGGGAGCAGAAGCTCAGGTCTGAGGCGGTGGAGCGGCTGAGCATGCTGCGGACCAAGGCCATGCGGGAGAAGGAGGAGCAGAGGGAGATGCGCAAGTACACTTACACACTGCTGCGTGTCCGTCTCCCTGATGGCTGCCTCCTCCAGGGTGTGTGCTTCCCCTGGGCAGGGTGAGGCCTGGGAGGTGGTGTCTGCTGAGGGGGCTGAGTTGGGTGTGGTACAACTGCAGCTGTGGGTTGCTGTGCCTCCAGCAGGAGTCTAAGGCCTTTCTGGTCTGAGCTTCTCTGGGCGCAGCTTGTCTGGGCTGGGGGTTCCCAGGATCTCCAGCCCCACGCTGACTGTTCCACCCCTCAGGGACCTTCTATGCCCGGGAGCGGGTGGCGGCACTGTATAGCTTTGTCCGGGAGGCCCTGCAGAACGACTGGCTGCCCTTTGAGCTGCTGGCCTCGTGTGGGCAGAAGTTGTCGGAGGATGAGAACTTGGCCTTCAATGAGTGTGGGCTGGTGAGTGACGAGCTCCCGCATGTTGGATCTCCAGGTTCTTGTTGAATCTGCACAGGTTCCCCATGAGGGCGGCCCTCTTCAGTATGGGGTGGTGCTAGGAGCAGGGGTCCCAGAACCAGGCTCCCTCAGTCCTACCTTCCCCTTTACTAGCAGTGTAACCCTGAGTAACTTCTCTGTGCCTCAGTTTCCCACCTTTAAAATGGAAAGGAAGGTAGCAAGTGTGTTATTTCGAGTCCTCTGAGCAGGACCCAGATGGGATTGAAAATGTGGGGATTTCCTGACGGCTGCCTAGCACTGAGATAGTCTTAGCCAAATCTGAGGTGTCCCTGAGCCCGGGTCCTCTGTAGGAGGAGCCACTGGTTCAGGAATGGACCGACTGTGAAGACCGTCCTGGTGTCGCCAGCGGGGAGTAGTCCTGGGAGTGTGTGGCCCTGATTCCAACACGAAGATTTGAAGGTGAAGAGATGAGCTTTGTCATGTAAAGGCCAGAACAAAGCTGAAATTTCTCTCCCCACCACAGGTGCCCTCAGCCCTCCTGACCTTCTCGTGGGACATGGCGGTGCTAGAGGACATTAAGGCCGCGGGGGCTAAGCCAGACTCATCTATCCTGAAGCCCGAGCTCCTGTTGGCCATCGAGAAGCTCTCGTGAAATAAAAGCAGGGTTGGCTTCAGCCCCATGGGTCTGTCTCCTGCTTCCTCCACCTCTGCTTACGTCCTCATTCTCCCTCCACTCCAAGGCCTCCCAGCCTCCTCTGGGACTGCCCAGCCCATGGGCAAGGGAGAGCGACTGGTTGGCCTGTGACCGCCACTGAGGGCTTTCAAGCAACAGCTGCTGTGCTGTCCTTGGTAGCATTCTCCAGCTGCTATTTAACCTAATTAACGGAACCCCAGGCATGACAGACCTGGGCACCTCCCTGGATAGGAATAGGCCTGCAGCTTGGGTCCAGGCCCCATGGCTGGCCCTGAGGCTGTCCTGTGGAACTGCTGGTGATAGTGGCATAAGATAGAGATGCTGGGCCTGGGCAGAGTTCTGTAACACTAAGTTCTGAATCCAAATAAACAGGCTGTTTGACTAGTCTCCTGGTGGTGAATTCCAGCCATGTGTTGTAGGGCACCCCGTGGATGAGCCCCCTTGCTGAGGGAGGGTGCCCAGGGATCCTGGGCTGTGGGGCTAGGGCCTCTTAGGCCCTGCAGAACGGTTCCTGTAGATGTCCACGTCCTCACCCCTGGAACCTGTGAATACCACTTTATGTGACAAAAGGAACGTTGTGTGTGATTAAGGACCTTGAGATGGGAGATTGTCCTGGGTTTTCCAGATGGGCCATTGTCATCACAGGGGTTCTTATGTGTTGAAGGAGGAGGTAGAAGAGATGGGAAGATGCTTACACTGCAGCTTTCAAAGATGGAAAAAGGCCACAAGCTAAGGAATGCAGTGGCCTCTAGAAGCTGGAAAAGCACAGAAATGGATTCTCTCCTGGAGCTTCCAGAAGGAACCAGCCCTGTTCACATCTGTATTTTAAAGTAGTGAGACCCATGTCTGATGATACCCAGAACTGTAAGAACAAGTTTTTTTTGTTGTTGTTTTTTTTAAAATATATTTTATTGATTTTTACAGAGAGGAAGGGAGAGAGATAGAGAGTTCAGAAACATCGATGAGAGAGAAACATCGATCAGCCGCCTCCTGCACATCTCCCACTGGGGATGTGCCCGCAATCCAGGTACACGCCCTTGACCGGAATCGAACCCGGGACCCCTCAGTCCGCAGGCCGACGCTCCATCCACTGAGCCAAACCGGTTTCGGCAAGTTTTTTTTTTAAGCCACCATTTGTAGTGATGGGTTACAGCAGTGGTCAGCAAACTCATTAGTCAACAGAGCCAAATATCAACAGTACAACGATTGAAATTTCTTTTGAGAGCCAAATTTTTTAAACTGAAACTATATAGGTAGGTACATTGTTACTAACTTATTTAGGGTACTCCTAAGGCTTAGAAAGAGCCACACTCAAGGGGCCAAAGAGCTGCACTGGCTCGTGAGCCAGTTTGCCGACCACGGGGTTACAGCTACAGGGAACTAAAATGGAAACCAAGGCCAGGAGTGTCAAAGGTACTCCTGGTCATAGCCAGGCTGGGAGATGCCCCCTCAATCACTCACCTGGATCGTCCCCTCCCCGCCCAGCCCCAGGTGGGCTGCTGGCTTGGTTTCTGTTAGATTCTCCCCTGCATGGAGACCTGGGTGGCTGGTCCTCTGGCCACTGCCAGCTATGTGACAGACATGAAGCTTCAAGGCCCCAAATGTGATTTTAAAAGCAATAATCCCTTGTAACCTCAGCAAGCAAGTTGCCCCCATGCATGCCCTTGCCTCACACATAGGCCACCAGCAGATGTTGGACCTAGGCCTTTCTCTTTTGCTGCCATATCTTGGGAACCCAGCATGGTCTCACCCTGTCACTTAGATCCATCCCTTCCCTGTCCCCAACTGCTGCTAGGATTCAACTGTCAGTTGTCAGATACCCAACTAAAACAGGTTTAAGGATACTTTACAGGTAGTTGTGTCCACAGGTTTAACACATGTGCCTCTATCCTGAGCACAAGCCTGTATTCAGCTGCACCCTACCTCCAGTGGGAGGTTCTGGCCAAGGCTCATGTTCTCACCTGCAACTGGGGTGTTTCTCAGCCCCATCCTTATGGGGCTCCTGGAGGAGGATCAGGGTGTTTGTGGGAGCGGAAAACCTGAGGAGTCTTGGCCACCACACAGCCACAGGGTTCAGTTGCCCTGTCTGGTTGTATCCAGCTGATATAAACTGTTCTGCACACTGATATGCCTGCTGGCTCTTCTCTCGTGGGGGCAGTAGGAACAAAATCAACCCTCTACTGTGTAGATATGAGGGGCGGCAGGAGTCCAGGTTGGATGGAGTATGTGAACTCTGCCAAAATCTCAGCTCACACATGCTCAAATGCCTCTGTGGGACTATCGCTGCCCCAATGTGGGGCTGCTCCAGGGCCTCATGGACCAAGGCTCCAGCATCTTTAGTTGGCTCCACTATTTCAATACTCTCCTGTGATGTGGCCTGACCCTGAAGTCCATCTGGAAGCCAGGATTCAGGGCTTAGAAACACAAAATATGCCCTGCTCACTTCCCAAGGGGCAGGAAGAGCTGATGGGCACAAGCACCCGCTGAGAAGCTACACCCTGAACTAGGTCATTGCGGAGGCGGAGGACTTTACAACAAAGAGTTGAGACAGTGCTTTTGCAAAGTGGAAAGCTTGATACAGATGCCACAGTACCACGTGTGGGGTAGAAGGAATGGACACTTGCGAGCACAACATAGGGCTCAGGCCACAGGTGAAGGTACACACCCACTCACAGAAACGATATGTTGAAAAGATGACAGACACACCAGGTCAGGGCTAGACAATAAGTTTATACATATCCATGTCAGTCCTGGTGCCACACGACACCGGCAGGCTCCAGTTCATTTATAAGCATTTCATCATAGTGCCTGCTCAGGATCCTTAGGGCACAATTGGGATTCCCCGTACAGGCCAACACACTGCGATAATGCTTTATTAAAGGGCAGATTAGTATGCAGCTTCGAGGGGAAATTTTTACAAATATAAAAAAGAATGAATCAAGCATCCTATATACTTTCCAACCCTTGAGGGGGCGTATGCGAAGCAGGACAAAGTGCTCTTTACACAGGAATCATAGGACTTTCAAGTATCTGAGAAGCATCTGAGAAAACCCTAACCATTCTACATACACACGCCAGCCAGTTTGGGGTGCTCAGGAGGGGCTGAGTGAGTTGGAGGGCATGGGGCTCTCGCTGGTGTCCATTCCCACAGGCCTTCCAGCACTGGGAGTGGTTACACAAGGGTCCTGGGCCTCTGCAAGGCAAGAGAGGTAGGGGCTTTAGTGTCTGTACCTGTGTCACCAGGGCCTGAAACAACTCTGAGAGCCTTCTTGGGGTAAGATCTCCCGATCCGACCGTGGTTAGACAAGAAGCATGGCTGTAGCCCCCAGACCCGTCTCCCTTTTCTAGACACATGTACTCCCTGTCCCCTCTTCAGCTCACTCAGGGGAAAAGCCAAATCTAGGCCCGAGGCCCCATGGCAAAGGGGAAGAAACTAGGACACTGAAGCCAAGTGGCTCTGTCAAGGATCACCGGACATCAGGCTCCCCGGGCCTCGCATCACTGCTTGCTTCTTTTTCCCTGGAGCAGCTTAGTTCAGAGGTACCTCACTTGTGCCAGGACCCCCACCTCCAGGACTCTTCCTAACACAGCCCATCCATCACCCACCAAGGTGGCAACCAACCTTCAGTTCTTTGGTTTCCTAAATGTAGCTTAGGAAACAAAGTCAGATCCTCCAGGGCCTGGATTGGACCCAACTACCCACCCACACCATTAAACCAGCCCGCCCAGTGCCTTTCACAATCTTTTAACTCAACCCCCATTATGTACAAAAGAGAGCCAGTGAAAAGGTAACAACAGTGCAAGTGCTCTTCCCCCTGCTGCCAGCCTGCATGAGAAGAGGGACTGGGGCTGTTCTCACCAGCAATATCCGAGATGTCCATCATCACACAGTCACCATCCTCTTCCTCCTCCTCCTCCGTGTCTGCCTGGAAGCCATCCAGGTCCCCAGCTCCGACCTGAACAGGCAAGGGATCACAGGTCATCAGCATGGGCACTTTGGGCAGACCAGTGTGTAACCCCTCCTGCTACACGTGTCTATACTACTGGCCTCCTCTACCATTTTTTAAAAAATATAGCCCTGGCTGGTTTGGCTCGGTGGATAGAGCGTCAGCCTCCGGACTGAAGGGTCCCAGGTTCGATTCCGGTCAAGGGCATGTACCTTGGTTGCGGGCACATCCCAGGTAGGGGGTGTGCAGGAGGCAGCTGATCGATGTTTCTCTCTCATCGATGTTTCTAACTATCTCTCTCCCTTCCTCTCTGTAAAAAAAATCAATAAAAAAATATTAAAAAAATATATATATATACTTTTTGCCCTGGCCGGTTTGGCTCAGTGGATAGAGCTTTGGCCTGCGGACTGAAGGATCCCGGGTTCGATTCCGATCAAGGGCACATACCTGGGTCGCAGGCTTGGTCCCCACTGGGGGGCGTGCAGGAGACATCTGATCCATGGTTCTCTCTCATCAATGATGTTTCTATCTCTCTTCCTCTCCCTTCCTCTCTGTAATCAATAAAAAAATTTAAAAAATAAATATATATATACTTTTATTGATTTCAGAGAGGAAGGGAGAGGGACAGAAACATCAATGATGAGAATCATTGATCGGCTGCCTTCTGCACGCCCCCTACTGGGAATCGAGCCTGCAACCTGGGCATGTGCCCTTGCCCGGAATCAAACCTGGGACCCTTCAGTATGCAGGCTGGCACTCTATCCACTGAGCCAAACCAGCTAGGGCTCCTCTACCGTTTTAATAACACATGGAGGAGTCCATTTAATAGCTGATGACCAAGCAAACCTTGGCAAGTTCCTTTCAATGAACTAATTCAGAGCTTTGAAAACTACCATTATCATATTTACCTTATCACAAAAATAATTTGTGAACTGTTTTCGAATTAGAATTCTGGGTTTCTGGGTTGGTTTGAAAGAAAAATTGATAAAGCATACAGTTTCTTTGAATTTATTATTTGAAATAAATGATTGAGAGCCCAGTTGGTCAGTGCTTTCTCTGTACCTTCTGCCTGATGCTTGACAACTCAATTTATGCTTAGACCAGTTTGGCCAGCGTGACTATCATCTGGGCAATTGTGGACAGAAGTCAGGAAGGACAGGGGACAGCGGGAAGGCCTCTACTGGGGCTAGACTTTCCAACAAAGATTCCTGGGCCGTTTTCATTGGCATTCAGCAGAGGGGACAGAAAGACAAGGTGGAACGTAGCAGGACTGATTTTAAACACCAACCATCCACACAAGGGCTCACTTTCTCTGTAAATGAACAAAGGGAACTAACTGGCAGAGGAGGCAGGAACAGACTTATTTAAACAGAGAGGCTACTTCTGAAAACACTTTGAAATTCCTCTGCTACAAAAATCTCCATTTGCCTGGAAAAAGAATGACAGAGCAGTAAGATTTGCACATTGGGTTCCTGGCCTGGCTGGCAGACTGGGCTCAAGTTTGCAGCATCACAGTTCCTGTTGTGTACGCTCCATGCTCAGACTCTTCGGTGGCTGGAGCGTCACTTAGATAGGAATGGTCCCACAGCAAAAGCAGGAGCTGCCACCTAAGGATGCTGACGGCGATTTCTAACTACCTATTCTAAAGAACTGATTGACTGCCCTAGCTGGTTTGGCTCAGTGGATAGAGCGTCGGCTTGTGGACTGAAGGTCCCGGGTTCAATTCTGGTCAAGGACACATACCTCAGTTGCAGGCTCCTCCCCTGCCTGGGCCCTGGTCAGAGTGAGTGCAGGAGGCAACTAATAGATGTGTTTCTCTCACATCGATATTTCTGTCTTTCCCTCTCTCTTCCATTCTCTCTAAAAATCAATGCAAAAATTTCGTTGGGTGAGAATTAAAAAAAAAGAACTGACTGACCAAGAACAGACAGCTCAGCTCTCAACTATGTGGATTTGGGGATGTTGGTTTGGGTCTGTTAAGCAAAAGGAACAGAGGGATTTCTTCATAGCCTCCCCTGGTCACTGGGCTCAACAGAAGACAGGAAACACAATTATAGTGGAACCACTATCCATAACTCTCCAGACACAGGACAGGCTATAAAATATTCTACAGTGGGAATTTAGGATGACACCTGAATCCACTGTGCTGAGCTATCAGCAGCTTATTGTAATGGGAAAGCTTGTCACCCCATTGTCACTGCTGCATGTGGCAGATGCAGAGATGGAAAAGGGGGAACATGTAAAATGGGCAGGAATTAGATATTTGCAACTGTCAAGAACTACAGCTGTATAACACCAGTCTTTTAGTTTTGTTTTTTGTTTCATTTTAAATATGTTTTTATTGATTTCAGAGAGGAAGGGAGAAGGGAGATAGAAACATCAATGATGAGAGACAATCATTGATTGGCTGCCTCTTGCACACCCCATACTGGGAATCAAGTCCGCAACCCGGGCATGTGCCCTTGACCAGAATCGAACCGGGGACCCTTCAGGCCACAGGTCGACACTCTATCCACTGAGCCAAACCAGCTGGGGTTTTAGTTTTGTTTTGATCATAGAATATATTTGACTAGAAAGGAGAAACAGAACCTCTCCCCATTTTAAAATAACACCAAGGCCCACAAATCTGGGTCGCCCTGGTGCCAGAGACTTGGTGACAGAGCTGAAGTCTCACCTTAGCCTGTTTATCTAACTACATCATAATACCTTGTAAACTCAGGGTTTATGATGATTTTTGAACTCTAAATAAAGATTTAAATATTCTTAACACACACACACATTTATAGTTTAGTTACAACTACTTCCAAGGGTGCAGAAATACGCAAGCTTTACCAAAATGTAGGGGGAAGTGTTCTACATGCCCCTCCAATCTTCCCTTCTAGAAAGTTGTACCTGTCTCCCACTTTGTGTAGGTAATATGTGGTAGCAGGCCTTACCCATGCATCCCCCCCGCCAAGCAGGGGCGGAGGGTGGTCAGTTCTCATTTCCCAGTCTCTCTTGCAACTCACAGTGGCTGTGCCTAAGCATTTTGTCCAGAAAGACACCAATGGAAGTCGGCTGGGGTGAGCATTCCTTTCCAGCTACTGCTGGCCACAGACTAAGGAGGGAGGGGTGGGCAGGAGGACCCGGCTACTGGACTAGGATGTTACATGAGCTCAGGACTAGTTGCTGGAGGTAAACCCCCACAAAATAGGAGCTCTGTTACCTGAGGTCGGACATAGTCCTGGTGACTCAGGGCTGTCAAGCAGGGTGTCCAAACTTGAGCATTCCAAGGAGAAGGGGTGAGGCTCATGTCCACAAATCCACTCCTAGAACATTCCAAAGAACCAGCACCCACCCTAGCTGGTTTGGCTCAGTGGATAGAACATCAGCCTGCGGACTGAAGGCTCCCGGGTTTGATTCCGGTCAAGGGCACATGCCTGGGTTGTAGGCTTGATCCCCAGTAGGGGGCGTGCAGGAGCCAGCCAATCAATGATTCTCATCATTGATGTTTCTATCTCTCCCTCTCCTTTTCCCTCTGAAATCTATAAAAATATATTAAAAAAAAAAAAAAAAAAAGCCAGCACCCACTATGCTGCCCCTAGATTCTTTCCAAAGGACTCCGTGAGAAGGGGCTTTGAAATGCAGACTTTAACCACCTAACCACCTGCTGAATCAGTTATGGGGGCCAGCATACCCAGATCTCCTAAGGTTTTTAACCCCTTTCCTGGGCAGTGCTTCTGTAACAGGGAGTGGAATCCATACAACTGCACAGGGCTGCTGCTGCATGTGTATCACCGGGTGACATGCCTCATTTCACTGATTCCCAGGCACATGCTTTCTCCCATATCTATCTCTAACCTGGGAGAGCACTCCCTGGCTTAATTTCTCTATCCTGGAGGTTCAGTTAGAGAATGAAGCTTCTTACCACCATTGAACACAGGAATTCACATAAGATGCCTAGCACAGTGCCTGGAATGTAATGGGGCAAAACCAGTTTTTCATGTAGGGAAACATGGGTTATGAACACAAATGAGGTTGACCACAAGGGAAGCGAAGCTCAGAAATGCGGCTGAGCCCCCACACTAACTGTGTGGGATTCTACCCCACCCCAATGAAGCAGACAACAGCACAAAGGTGACCGAGGGAGGGCTGATGGGGCAGAGGCCTGGGAATGCTACTTATGAGTTCACGCAAAAGGTGTCTTTCATCACCACCCATTTTCAAATCGGGGTCCCCAGCTTGTTTCAACCAGAATAGCCACATGTGGGTTCCTTCTAAGGCTGGGTTAGCAACGACATCAACCACAAAAGATACCGTGTGGCTCAAACACCTAATGGATCTAATGAAGCCCATCATTTTGGGCCCAGGCCCAGAGAGGGAAGTGTTTGGGAGTTTGGAGCCCCCTCCTCATCCAGTGGGCTCCCCACAGCACCAAGTGCATCCATAAGCAGGCAGAGCTTTGCACACAAGTGCTAATGGGTAGGTGCTCTGGGGAATGTCAAGTTGACACTGGACTGTTCTGATAGTCCCTCTTGCTGTGAGTTTAAGGTTTACTGCCACATTCCAGGAGCAATTTCTCTTGCCTCCAAGCCCTGATTTTATTTTCTAAGCCTCAGAGTAACTCATGTCAGATCAGGGAGTGGGAGCGGGGAGTGAAGGGGGCGTATACCAACTCTCCTCCTCCGTCACCACAGCTATATCTTCAGAGCACAGCTCCCAGAGCAGCACCGCTCTCCTGAAAGGGGCTCTGATTTGAGCGGGAGACCCAGCTCTTACCACACCTTCATTAAAATCTATAAATCTGTGAGATGCTGACCTAAAGTGAGGACCATATATTGAGGTGCCATCAAGCAATGAAAAGATATGAGGAAGCTTAAATGCAAATAACTAAGTGAAATAGTCAATCTGAAAAGCCTATATACTGTATGAGTCCAACAATGTGAGATTCTGGAAAAGAGAAAACGTTGGATATAGTAAAAGGATCAGTGGTTGCCAGGGGTTAGGAGGGGAGGAGAATGAATAGGAGAATGAATGAAGAGAGGATTCTTAGGGCAATGAAACTATATAGTATAATACTGTAATGGTGGATACATCTTACATATTTTCCAAACCCACAGAATGTACCACACCGAGAGTGAATCCTAATGTCAACTATGGACTTTGGATGTTAATGATGTGTCAACGTGAGTTCATCGACTCTAACGAGCATAGGGCTCTGGTGGGGGATGTTGATGCCAGAAAGGCTGTGCATGTGTGTGTTGAGGGGTAGGAAATATGGAAAATCTCTGTACTTTCCCCTCAATTTTGAACAATTTTGTTGCCTCAATTTTGCTGTGAATGTAAGAATAAAAAAGCCACGTTGGAGGCCTCCCTGCCCCACCCAGGCCCTCAAGCACCCCACTGCTCACCTGCCCATCATGCCTGCGCTTCTTCATGAACTGAGTGATGCACATGCTTCCTGCTGACTTCCTCTTTAGCGAGATGGGTGTCCCCTGGCTGGGCCCTGGGGTGGGGATGCTGCCACTGTCCTCCCTGGTGGCTGAGGGCACCATAGTGACATAACTCCACTGGCACGGCACGGGCAGGTGCTCCTGATCAAAGCTCTTCAGCACCTGTGAGTGGACGTACCAGCACATCCTGAAATCAGGCCTCTTCTCGTACACCGAGTTCTCGGAAATAATACGCTTGAGCCTGGCCTTGGAGGGGACGGCATTGTCCTCGCTGGTGGTGGGGGTCTGCGGGCGGGAAGAGCCAGGGCTCGGAGGGCTGGCGGAGCTGCTCTCAGGACTGCTAGTGTCCTTGCCAAGCAGTCCTTGGCGGCAGCATTCCTGGAATTCCCGGATGATGACTTTGCTTCCATTCACATTCCCGTGTAGCAGCGGGAGCAACTGGGCCAAGACTGGCAGGGAGAGGAGAGGACACAAGTGGGTGTCAGACATGGGAAAATAGCAATGAATACTGCACATGGTTCCTGAACCTGTCACCAAGATTGAGGGACACAATCAGTTTCAGATGGCCTTTTAAGGATGCTTTTAGATATATGAACTTGATCTGGAAGAGATTCTGTGAAGCCCAAATTTCACAAGGCAGATTCATTCAGATAAAACCATCACGACTGACTTTATGCACCTGTGTTTCCTTAGTAGTGGCCATCGTACTCTCATTCTGAGTCACTGGTCCTCCCCAGCTTTGAATAGTGAGGAGGCACAGAAGTTAGGAATGATAGTGACCCTGGGCCAAGCACTCTGGGTCTGTGTCCCTGTTGGTAAAATGGGCTAATTAAACTAGCTGCCTTGTACTGCTGTTGTGAATATCAGAGAAGAAACAGATGTGGAGTGCTAGCCTTTGTGATTTGTTGAAATAACTTCTAAATTATTAATTCACTTGCCTAAGAAGTCGCCTGCCTTTGGCCCTGGACAGATCTGGGCCTCGGGTGCAACTGGGAGCCCTACCCCCTTCCACCCCTGCCCCAAGCCAGCACTCACTGTGCTGGTCCCTCTTCTTTTTCTTGGAGGCCTTAGGTGTCTGCTCCTCCTCGGGGAGAACTGTCTCTAGAAGGCATGCCGTGAACTGCTCTAGCACCTTCAGGTCGGCGCTGCCATCCTTGTCTGCCGCCCAGATGCAGCCAATCTTCACGGGCTGGAGCACGCGGAACCGCTTTCCCTTGGCTAAAAGCTCGTCCCACTCCTTGGCCTTCAGCTTCTGGCGGACCTTGTGGTTCTCGGGGTCAGCACACTCCTTGCAGGTGAGAGAACAGGTCGACATTACATGCCCAGTACAGCACAGGGCGGGGCATCTCCCACACCAGATGATACCACTCTTTAAGGCAGACATGCTTATGGGTACACCAGCCTGCCTCATTGGTTGGAAATGTGTATGAGACACATGCCCTTCAAGTATGACTTTGAGACAAAATCATTTCACAACCGATAGGCCTTTGGAGCCCCAAAAATGGCTTACTCAAAAGTTTAACCATGTGGCAAAATTTAGAAAGTTGTTGCTGCTGGTGTTGGTGGGGCAAACTCAAAGGGAAATGGGGGAACCTTCTAGAAAAATGGAAACTTCTGTATTTTATATCCAGTGGTGGTTCCACAAATATTGTCAATCATTAAAACTCATTAAACGGAATAAATGTATGCTAATTACATTCAGCTAAACAAATATTTAAAAAAGTTTGGTGAGCTGACCCACGAACCAGAGTAACTCTCTGACCGGGTTTCTTCTCATGCGCTCCCGTCACAGTGAATTTTCTCTCACCTTTGCAAATTCTCCCACCCTTCCAGACAAACTCCAGCTCAGGGTCTAGCATTTCCACAACCAATCACACATTGGGGCTCACCTTCATGGCTATGAGAAGTGAGATACATGTGGGACCGGCCATAGATGGACTGCGACCCTTGAGCACTGTCCCCAGGCAGCTACCAAGCTCCAGCCCCTGACTGGGCTCTTCTCCAAGCCAGTCACCTCCCTGTGCATACACTCACCTCAGTTACTCCCTCATCCTCAGACAGGTACCCATGAGGTACGAAAAAACCATCATCCTCATCTTCATCTTCTACTTCATCATCATCATCCTCAAAGAAAAAAAAGTATGTTCACATGTGGAAACAGAATACATGCTTCATTAAAAATTTAAATCTGTATATGTCTAAGGAAGAAAAAAAAAAGCCACAAACTGCTGTTGTTCCTATGGACACCATGAGGATCAACCAAAACCCCATAAACGAGTCCGATTATATTGCAGTGTGTGAGGATGGGGTGTGTGAGGGGGAGAACACAAACAATAAAGTCACCCAATAAGGCAAGAGGCAGTGGTGGGGGCCTGGGTGAACGAGAGAATGGATGTGCCCCATCTAGAAGGGGCAACACTGCTCAGTAACAACCCACTACTGCTAGGTGAGCGGGTTAGCGTTGCCAAATAAGGTATTCCAAGAGAAGTTGGGAATCCAGATGTAAACTGTTGGCTGACATTTTCAGACAACTCTGCAGGTAACACAGAAACTATGTAAAGGAATCCAGCCTAGGGCTGTTGCGTCCTCTGATGGAAGCTGCAACCATTCTAGGTCTGCACTCACCCCTTCACTGTGAGAGAGAGACTCTCCTGGCTCCTCCTCTTCCCACTCATCATCACTGTCCACCTCATAGTCCAGGAGCTTCTGAGAAAACAAGACATGCAGTGCGTCATTGCCACCTCTCAGGGTTGGGAGGAAAGGGCAGAGCAGAAAATAGAATACTTATGGAATTAAAGAGACCAGTGTAAAGGCAAACTGAGAAGGAAACACAGAAAGACAGGTGTGTCTAGACCATTGGCACTTCTGCTTGCATGCTCACCCTGTCTTGGGCCCAGGGGTCCCTTGGATGGATGACCGTCGTCGTCTTATTCCATGTCCCCCAATATGCTGGTCGGTGATTCTCAGAAAACTGCAGGAGCTTCATCCTGCCAAACTTCTTCCTTTCAGGAATGCCATCTACTTTGCTGCTTTCCACTATCACCACATCACTGAGGAGTAAGACACTGCACTCACTCATATGCCTCCCAGGTGATGCGGTCACCCCATCTTCCCACGGAAGCAGGTCACCAACAGTCTACAAAGGCAGGTAACCATTAAGCAGCAGCAGCACCTACTCCTGAAGAAGGCTAGGGGAACATTTACTCCAGAGACACAAAGCAAGGAGGGAGAAACGAAAGTGCCACCATGTTGCTGCCCCAGGGCTTGTCTGTGAGCAGGGCCATGGAGAGTAGTAAGTGAATCAGCAAGAACAGGGAAACACCCCTCCAGGGAGGCCAGTATGCAAATGGATCCCTCCCAGGAGAGACTGGAACACTGGGATAGGCAGTCTGCACTCCAAAAGGACACCCGAGATTTCGGAGGCTCCCAGGAAGCCAGGAGAGAGATGAGACAAAGCACTGAAACTAGGGTCTGAGACCTGAAAGGGAGACGACTGGCCCAGGCCACAATGGGTCAGCAGTGAACCAGAATCTAGAGCTCAGCCAGCTGTGCTCTGACTTCACCAACGAGCACAGGACGGTCTTCTCGGGCACTAACCTGTTAAAAATGTCCGCATTCCGGTTAGAAACCACGGTGGGTCCAGACCTGAGGGGCCGCCGGCCTTTCAGATCTTTTAGGAAGGAGAAGTTGCCACTCTGTTGCTGCAGGAGCTGGTCTAACTGATCACAGAGGTCTTGGTCAAAGGTGGTCCGACAAAGAGGGGCGAGGACCATGTTCTCTTTAATTTCAAAAGGGGCAAACTTGCCACAGGAGCCGGCCAGCGTCTGAAATGGAAATGAGACGGGATGGCACACCTGGGTGATGGACGCCATCAGCAGAGGCATGGGTGAGCCATGGCACGTTGCATTTCAGATCCATTGAGGTGGGCAAGTCAAAGAAGAGATACTGTGTGATGACATTAACACAGGTTTCTGGAACAGGCAAAATTCCAGGGGCAGAGTAGTGGTGGCCAGGGGCTGGTGGGGGAAGGAGGAGACTGTCTATGAGGGAGCCATCAGGAATAATGGAAACACTGCAGATCTTGATATTGCAGTGGTTGTGTGGCCTTATATAATGAGTACTCATTCAACAGTACTCTTGGAAATGGCAAATTTTACTGTAAATTATACTCAATAAATCTTTTCTTAAAAAATAAAAAAAAAGATAAGACCTGAGCTCCCGGGTGAGGAAACCAAGACCTGGAGAGTGACCAGCTTACCAAGAGCCACAACCATTATGATACAAGGTGACCATCAACACAGGGCCAATTTCAACACTGAAGGCTGACATGAGCCTGAAACACTGGTGTGTGTGTCCTAAGAACCACACACTGTAAATTCTGAGAAGTTTGATTTCCCTGCTCAGGCTCCTTCCGCATCTTTTTTTTAAAAAAATATATTTTTATTGATTTCAGAGAGGAAGGGAGAGGGCTAGAGAAATAGAAACATCAATGATGAGAGAGAATCATTGATTGGCTATCAATGATGAGAGAGAATCATTGATTGGTTGCCTCCTGCACAACCCACACTGGGGATCGAGCCTGCAACCTAGGCATATGTCATGACCGTGAATCGAATCGTGACCTCCTGGTTCATAGGCCAACGTTCAACCACTGAGCCATGCTGGCCGGCTCCTTTCAGCATCTTCAATGTCTGTGTCAGTGGAACCCAAAGCTGGCAGCACACGAGGGCGTGGGAAATCAGAAGGACAGCTGAGATCTAAGTTCAACATAAGATAGCCAATGTTTCACCTCAGCAAGGAAAGAACAACTAAAGCCAGTGGCCTCATCACGGCTCCACACAGGATCATCTGGGGACTGTCAGAAATCCTGATGCCCACAGCAGGCCCCTGTCCTCTGGGATGGGACCCAAGCCCAGTGTTCTTTAAAGCTCCCTGGTGATGCCAACATGCACCTGAGGACAAGAACCAGCTGACTATTCTCACTAATGAGCAGGGACTAGGAGCACTGGGCATCCATATGGGAAAACCTGCCATGCCCCACACCGCAGGCACAGAGAATTCCAGCTAGGATAAGGAACCAGACATAACAAAACAAACAAACGAACACAAAAAACAGCAAAACAAAAACACCCAAGTAAAATAATTAAAACAAAACCTGCAAAAAAAAATTAGAATGCATCTACAACCATAGGGTAGCTAAAGCTTTCCAACCAAAAGCCAATTGCCATAAAATAAAAATGTTGACCTTAAAACAAAAAATTACAACGAAAGACAAAAATTACAACAAGTTAAAAGACAAGTTAACAGGTTGAATGTATCTGTGGTGTATATCACCAAGGATAAAAATCCTGGCTATATAAATAACTCGTAGAGATCAACATAAAAAGCCAAACCTATAAAGAAATACAATGGCAAACAAATTAAAAAAGATGTTCAACTACACTAGCCATCATGGAAAAATATAAAGTAAAAAAAATATCAATTTTTTTACCTATCAGGTTGGTTAAGTTCAAAGAAAGGTCATGCCCTGGCCAGTGTGGCTCAATTGGTTGGGCGCCATTACATTGCCGGTTCAATTGCCGGTCAGAGCACATACCCAGGTTGCGGGTTCGATCACCTGTTGGGTACGTACAGGAGGCAGCCGATCAGTGTTTCTCTCTCTGTGTCCCTTCTCCTTTCCTCTGTCTCTCATAGCAATAAAAAGGAAGGCACCTGAGCAGAGACAGGTGAGTGACATTCACAGCACCATGGATGGGGATCAATAGTTGAATAGATCTATATACTGTGATACCATCCACATCATGAAACATTATGTAGCAACAAAAAAGACTGAAGTAGACCCAAATGTGCCGACCTGGCAAAAATCCAAGTTACAGCTATGCAAACAATGCAGTAACATCACATATTCAGTGATCCTAATGTATGTGTATACAAATGCACAAATATACAAGGGGATCTAAATGAAGGAAGATCTGGAAGGACACTTGCATCGGGGAACATGGGTTACTTCTGGAGCATGGAGGGAGAAGAGAAGGGGGGAGGACCTGGGGTCTGCACAAGCAGCTACTTCAGAGGGTGACTGGATGCCAGACTGGAGAAGCAGAACTCTGGGCTCTTGTCTTTTTTTAAAAAAATATTTTATTTATTTTTTTACAGAGAGGAAGGGAGAGGGATAGAGTTAGAAACATCGATGAGAGAGAAAAATCCATCAGCTGCCTCCTGCTCATTCCCTACTGGGGATGTGCCCGCAACCAAGGTACATGCCCTTGACCAGAATTGAACCTGGGACCCTCCAGTCCGCAGGCGGACGCTCTATCCATTGAGCCAAACCGGTCAGGGCTGGGCTCTTGTCTTATGCTTAACCTTGCTTCCCATCTTGTGCATAAAGTCCAGAGGGTAAGGACTAGGTCTTCTCTTAACCTGCCCCATAGAGCGACTCACACAAAATTTTTCATGAAGCGATCCCTAAACATGCGACAGTCTTATTAGCAAATGTGCCACTTTTTGCTTTTTCAAGGACATACGAGAATCTCCAGGCCCTACCAGAAATAGAAGCTCCCTGTGCAAGCGAAGGCCCCTCTGCTCAGAAAACAGCTTTTTATTTTTCCAAAGGAAGAGCCTGACAGAGATGAAAAGCAAGGCTAAATAAAGCTGCTGCTCACCTTGGGGGTCTGTGGAGTCTTTGGTTTCTGGAAGAACCTCGTGATTTCAGCTTTCTCTGCTTTAATGCGCTGCAATATAATAGAAGGTGAAGAAATAAAAATGGTGTGTTTTCAAAAACGCAAAGTCCCCTAGAACTAAACCCCAACCTTGTGGTTTTTTAAATCCTCACCAGAGGATATTTTTTCCATTGCTTTTTAGAGAGTGTAGAAGGGAGGGGGAGGAGGGGACGAGAGGGAGACGGAGAGGGAGAAACACTGATGTGAGAGACACATTGATTGGGTGCCTCCTACATGCCCCCCAACTGGAGCCAGATATCTAACCTGCAACCCAGTTATGTGCCCTTGACTAGGAAATGAACCCGCAACCCTTTGGTGCTCAGGCCGATGTTCTAACTGCTTAGCTATACCAGCCAGGGCAAACCCTGAACATTTTTAAGTTGAAAGCATTACTTTGATGATAGCTTTCAAAACCTATCAACCCTCAACTGGGTACCAAGCAATCTCAAAGTGTCAGAGGTGCTCTTGTAGACAGAAGGGCCTGGGTGTCCAGCCAGCAGGCATGTTATAGGCCAGCATGACCACAATCAAAGAAAACATATGAACACACACATGCCAGTCCCTGTGGGGCCACTGGGCTTCTCATGACCTAGGGAACACTGGGCAGCAATAGGCAAAAACCCTGCTTATGAGGATTCCAGGATCCATTTCTCAAACAGAATAGAACATGGAGGTTCTGGGGAGGATGCCTACCTTTTCTTCCTCTCTCAGCCGTTTCTCCTCTTCCTTTTTCCTCTTCTCCTCCAGCTTAGCCCTATGGGACATGAAATTCAGTTTTAGCCAACCAGTGCCCCAAGCACACAAACAAAGCCTGTGTTCCTGGACAAGAACCCACAGGTCAGTTAGGGTCTGCACAGTGTCCCTGGAAGACAGAGGCAGGAGAGGGGAAGAGGGTACCAGGGCAGAGGCTTTTTGTATCCCTTCCTCAGGGAAGATACAGAAAGGGAGGGAAGGGGCAGCAGCCTGGCCCTTGAATGCCCAGGCCGCCCTGGGAGGACACTCACTCCAGGGCCTCCTGCCGCTCCTTACGCCGCTCCTCCTTGAGCCGCTGCTTCTCCGCCTTCTCCTTTTCTTCCTTCTCCCTTTTTTCGCGCCTCTCCTTCTCCTTCAGCTCTTTCTCTTCCTCTCTCCTCCTCCTGGCTTCTTCCTTGGCACGCTTGGCCTCCTCTTTTAGCTTCTCCTTTTCCTCTTTTTCGGCCTGTAACTTCAGCTGCTTGCCCAAACGCTCCTTATCCTGTAGTCAAGAGACAATTGGACAGCTGTGTCCCTGCAGACCTCCCGGGAAGGGTCAGGTCAGCATCATGGGGACAATATGTTCAAACAGAAAGGGAAAGAATGGCCCAGCTGGCGTGGCTTAGTGGTTGAGTGTCGACCTATGAACCAGGAGGTAGCGGTTCGATTCTTGGTCAGGGCACATGCCCACGTTGTGGGCTCGATCCCCAGTGTGGGACGTGCAGGAGGCAGCCGATCAATGATTCTCATCACTGATGTTTCTTTCTTTCTTTCTTTTTAATCCTCACCTTAGGATATTTTTCTACTGATTTTTAGAGAGTGGAAGAGAGAGGGAAAGACAGAGAGGAATATCGATGTGAGAGAAACACATCGATTGGTTGCCTCCTGCACACTCCCTGACCAGGGCCTGGGCCGAGGAGAAGCCTACAACTGAGATACATGCCCTTGACCAGAATTGAACCCGGGACCCTTCAGTCCGAAGGCCGGTGCTCTATCCAGAGCCAAACCATCTAGGGCCATAATTGATATTTCTCTAACTCCCCACCTCTCTTCCGCTCTGAAATCAATAAAGAATTAAAAAAAAGGGGGGGGGGGGGGAGAATGAAGGAACCAGCTCTAGAAGAAGCTTGATGGTTAACATCCGTACATGGAAGTGATTTTTCCATCACATTTCCTTCCGTTGTAAGAATTAGCTATTGTCACAGGACCTTGTGGGCCATTCAAAATAAGATTCATTTAAAATAGTTTCTTGTCCTAGCCAGTTTGGCTCAGTAAATAAGAGCGTCGGCCTATGGACTGAAGGGTCCTGGGTTCAATTCCCAGTGGAAGGCGTGTCAATCAATGATTTTCTCTCATCATTGATGTTTCTATCTCTCTCCCTTTCCCTTCCTCTCTGAAATCAATAAAAATATATTTAAAAAAAATACATACCCTCAAAAAATAAAGTATTTTATTTAAATATTTTTATTGATTTCAGAGAAGAAGAGAAAGGGAGAAATAGAAACATCAATGATGAGAGAGAATCTTTGATTGGCTGCCTCTTGCATGCCCCCCAATGGGAACCAAGCCCACAGCCCAGGCATGTGCCCTTACGGGAATCGAACCGTGACCTCCTGGTACATAGGTCAAGGTTCAACCATTGGGCTACACAGGCCAGGCACAAAAGCATTTTTCTTTCCATAACCCCGAATTCATACCAGATGACAGGGTTTATTTTATTTTCTTTAAAATGGAAGATTGGATGAGGCAAGGATAGGGAACCTAATGGGTAAAGTCTTAAAACAGTTGAGAATAGATGATAACCATAAAAAATAAAAGCAAAGAAAAAAGTATTATTTTTAATCTTTAAAACAATTTCTCAGGATCTGAAAAGAAAGGTAGATGTGAAGAAAGGGACGAGTAATTTGTATTACTAAGGAGAAAGTAGCTAATGTCTTTGATACTTGTTAAAGCGGTAATGCCCT